AATAATAATAATAATAATAATAATAACAATAATAATAATAGATCATATCCATTTAATCTGAAAATTTCATGTCTGATGTGGATATTTTTTATCTGATTTAATTTGATCTGTATCGTCTGATCTAATCTTCTGATATGGTCTGAATAAAATAAGAATAACGAATAGAATTTGGACATACATAACAGCTCCTTGATCACAAGGTCTACCACATTAACATGGATGTAAAGGTTGATTCATTCTTTTGTCTAAGTTTTATTAATATCTCTCTCCTAAGTTAAGATTCATTTGTCTTCGGTGCATCCTCGACAACTATATATTCAATTCTATTTCTCAACAATAATCCTTATGATTTCTAAATTCCTTTTTAGCGACTCAATATAACTCATTGATTTTCACAATTTATGAGTTCACATGTGATTTAGTATCACTCCTATTTTTTAAAATTTATTTTCATCCATATTTTTTCATAACAAACATTAGAACATATTTTTCCGTGCTTCGCACGGTAAGATATGTGTGAAAATTGCAGTCCCAATAAAAAAACAAAGGAATTTTTTTTATTTTTTTTTGGAGTCAAGGAAAAATATATTAATAAAAAGATAGTAGCTTATGTAATAAAGAAATGTCTATTTCTGGTCAAATGTTGTTTTATATTAAAATATTTTTAAGAAATGTACGTGTCTTTTAATATTACACGTACCGTTTCTCGCTTAATTGCCATTTTAAAAGTTGCCTTCCCTTGTAATAGATATGGCATCACTTCATAAGAGTCACTTTTTACATATATAAATAATAAATACTAGTAATAAATAATGAAGGACCATGTCAAATGGGATACCCGGCAAAATCATTGTGTCAATTTCTCGTATTGCCTTGCTCTATTACTTTTATCTGCAGTATTAGTAATAAAGTGTTTAGACCACTTTATAAATAAATTACTTGTTAAGTGTTATTTTATCAGTAGTTAAAATACACTTGTACACCTTCTTTTTATCCCAAAAGTTCTATCTTGTAACCCGGTTACTGTGATAAGGGTAGATAGTAAACTTTTAAGAAAGCGTATTTAATACGTGACTAGAAGTGATATCCGATCCAACCATATTTCTACACCCTTATATAGTTATATTATAATATTTTCATCCTCCCGTTCTAACAAAGGGTTCTAATATGTAAGATGAACTTAATAGGTTGAAGACTTTTATCTTGAATAAAAGTCCATACATGAAAAAAGAGTTTTTGCCATTTTTGGTCCCTCGACTATTATTTCAATGACACTTTTGTAACTCGACTTCTAATTGTTCTATTTTAGTCCTTGATTATTGTTCTAGAGACACTTTTAGTCCCCGACTTCAAGGTTTCCCACATTTAGTCCCTGAGTATTGTCAAATTGACACTTTTAGTCCTCCCATTATGATTTTGACACAATAAGTGGAGGACTAAAAAAGTCACTATTATAATAGTTGAAGGACCAAAAATGTTACTTTTATGAAAGTTGAAGGACTAAATATGGAAAATTTCAAAGACGGGTACCAAAAGTGTCTCTAGCGCAATAGTCAATGACTAAAAATGGAAAAAATCAAAGTCGAGTACCAAAAATGTCAATGACATAATAGTCGGAGGACTAAAAGTGGAAAAAAATCCATGAAAAAATGTGTCAATTCATGATAAATGTATTGTTAAAGTTGTAACATGAAAGACTTTCAAACCAACAGACTCTTTGAATTATTTATCTATAATATGATAAATGTTAGATATATAGAATCATATTATTAAATAAAGTTTATTAAAGGATGAAATCATAAACATGATTTATACTTCATTTTTAACACGATAGTATTATATTCCAGAAAAGTACCAAAAAATTTTGTGGCACAATGTGTAACATTCGACATGATTCTAGTTCAGAAATGAAATTTTAATCATTTTATAGTATGAAAAATCGAGAATTCTAATGTAAAATCAGAAACGGCGCAAAGATGAATCATTTTTTATCCAAATTATATCTTTCTTTCAAAAAGTCATATATATCTAAGACAATTGTTTAGAATTGTCTTAATAAGTTCAAAATTAGACTTATAATCCATACATGTTCATTGCTTGAACTCTTGAAGGCGGCATTTAATAATATATTTTCAGTTAAAAATAATAATCTGAATGCACTTGACAAAAAAGACTAATGATACACCCGATTCGACCCGATCCGACTCATTTCCATCTATGTAGGAGTGCCCCCGCTTCTGAAAAGTTCTGGTCCGCCTCTGCTTGCAAGGATGTCTGGCTACTAACAGCATACAAATTTGCAAACCAAAACAAATGCCTCTGATTAAGAAATCTGTGAAATTGAAACCAAAGAGCCAAGAAACCCGCGCGGGGAAATGCCTCTGATTTAGAAGTACCTTTCAGCCTTTTCATTTGATAGAAGCTGAAAGTGGCGTTTGTAGTGGTCTGGGGTTGGGGCTGGGCAGGGGGCTAGGAAGGAAAGGGTGCAGGGGGTGGGCTGCTAGGGAGTGGGGATGGGGAGAGGAAGGGTTAGTGGGGTGTTGGGGCGTGTGCGACTGCGGTGGCCGGAGTGTGCGACTACAGTGGCCGGAGAGTGTGCGGCCATGGCGGCCCAAGTATTTGCGACAGCGGAGGCATGGCGGTGAGATAGTGGTGCTGATTTGGTGTAAATTTACGTTTTGCCGAAAAAAATTGTCGAAAAAGCCATCAGAAAATTTCCTGACAAGTGTAAAATTTTTGACGTTCCTAATGACAAGTTTCACGCCGCCAATGACACCAGTGGCGGTGGTAGTGACTGGGCGGTGGCGGCAATGAAGCGGGCAATGAAGACGGTGACATTCAAAAGGGACATAAAAATGTGTTAGTGATATACAATAGTGACATAAATCCCGACAGTTACATAAAAAATGAGAGTGACATCATGTTTTTCCAAATATATGACCTTTTTAGTCACATTTTTGTCCTTTTATAAAAATGATCACATTTTTTAAAATTAGCTTTAAATTAGTAATATTCTAGGAAAAAGCCCAATAATCAATAGATTTTGGAGTGATTGGTAGAGGAATTTGTTAAGTGACTAAGTTGGTCACATCAGAAGTAATAGGGAGTCATAAATAAGTTGAAGGGATGATTCAGTTCCCAGCCGTACCGAAGTGTGCTCCGTAGTCCCACCCGCACTATAAATCTGTTAGTTCAGTGAGAATCACTCACACAGACTTAAAAAATCAAAAAGGGCACGTGGGTCACGCGTTCCCGTGGCGAAACCCAGCCAATCAACGCTCTAAGCCCGCCTGTAAAACCTAACCAACCTCTTCCCCTAACTGTAAACCGCATCTCCACTTCCTCCTACAATCCATGCCCTTTCCCACCTGATTCTCCTAATTAATTACAAAAGCAACTGATGTGAATTTTCTACCCAAATGCACCAATCATTACGTGTTGCATTTATGTGCTAAATTGATTAATCTTTTATATCTTTGAAAAAGATGCATAGGCTTTCTTTACAAAATCTCCTCACACTGTTTAGAACCTCTTTGATACCACTGGAATTGAGTGAAATGGCTAAATTTGGTGAAGTAGGTGAAGTTCTTCGTGAAACGGTTGAATCCATTATATACGTTGACTTATGAAAAAACATTCCCTAAATATGATCCTTTGTAGTATTATCCAATTAAACTTGGAAGTAATTACTCCGTTTAGGGAAGAAAAACATGACAACATATTTTGGAATGTTATAACATTTACGTTCCTATTTCCGGAATTTTTCAGTTTTTAAATCATACATAGTCTGAGTCTAATTATATTGCAATTTGGTATGTTATTTCTTAAACGCAATGCTGTGTCGATGTGAAGTCTAGCAGCAAAAACAGAAGAGTCGTCCTCCAGATCGGCCGATTGTGGTGGAGGGAGGCTTTCGTTTGGCGCTGACTTACTTTTCTCCTACGGCAGATCAGTGGCGGACACAAAGGGTGGCAATGGGGGGCTGCTGCCCCTCCAAAATAAAAAATCTAAGATATATTTATCCCGAAATTTTTAGTATATACTCCCTCCGTCCCGCTATTAACTTCTTGCTTTCCTTTTTGGGCCGTCCCAAAATCATCTTCTCATTTCCCTAAATGGAAAGTTATCATACATCAAAACAATGTCAAACAGTGCAAAACAATGTCAAACAGTGTCTAAACAGTGCCAAACAATGTCTAAACAGTGTCAAACAATGTCTAAACAGTAAAGTCAAATCTATTTCCTAAATATGTGTGTAGATCAAAGTAAGAAGTTAATAGCGGGACGGAGGGAGTATGTATTTGTATGTATATTTTTGTACTGCCGCCCCTGCTACCCTGAATTCCTGCGTCCGCGGCGGCGGCAGATTCTTCTTCCACCGTCTTGCTTTGCGATCTAAATTATTTGATGGTAACATCAACTCTTAGAGATTCTTGGTAGAGGAGGGATGCTTTCATTTTTCTACTTTTGAGTTTATAAAAACACTTCTTAATAATTCAAAAGCTAAAAGCTAAGGTAAGAGCTTATGCTTAGGAAACACTACATGTCAAAACTCAAAAGTCAAGAAAATGAGTTAACAATTGAGCTGATCAACTGATCAAGTATTAAATATGACCCAGACAAATGATGAAATGAAAATGAATATTGTAGCATAGATGAAAATGGGAAGGGCACAATTAAAATGAGAGGAAACTAGGAAATGGATAAGTTTTTCACCTATGGCTTTCGGCGTTTTAGTCCAACTGGTACCCCGTACAGCTAGCTGGCCAATCACCTTTCTCTTTCAATTCCTTCTTCAAATCAATATTCAATATATACATACATATATACTTACTATAGTATATATACTCCTAAATCTTCCTTTCCTCGTTCTTTCCTTTCCCTCCTGCTTGCCTCCTAAATATCACACGCCTTGCTCTTTCGCGTCCTAAACGTACCTATCTCACGCTCTTATCACGCTTTTGGCTTCTCTATATATATCTAGGGAATCCACACTTTCATCACTTATCTTTTGTCTGTGCAATCCCAATTAACTACCGACTTTGCCTAATATAGAAACAATGGATATGATTGGGAATTACTATTCTGGGGATTTCCTTGCGGCGGCTGCGTCGTCTTCTCTGTTTTGGCAGGAACAGAGCACCGCCGGCGCCGCTGTTTCCTCGCCAATTTCTTCCGACGACACTGGAAGTTCCAGCAGCCATTGCAGTTTTACGACGAAATCGAATATGTTTGAAGAGGATATGGTCATGTTGGCTTCGAACAACCCCAAGAAACGCGCCGGCCGGAAGAAATTTCAGGAGACGCGTCACCCGGTGTACAGGGGAGTGAGGCAGAGGAAATCCGGCAAGTGGGTCTGCGAGGTCAGGGAGCCCAACAAGAAGTCCAGGATTTGGCTCGGGACCTTCCCGACGGCGGAGATGGCTGCCCGGGCTCACGACGTCGCCGCCATTGCTCTCCGAGGCCGATTCGCCTGCCTCAATTTCGCAGACTCTGCCTGGCGGCTTCCCGTCCCGGATTCCTCCGCCGCTAAGGACATCCAGAAGGCCGCTGCTGAGGCGGCGGAGGCCTTCCGGCCTGAAACAGGAACTGAACCCGCCGCCGAGGCAGGGGAGATGACGCCTGAAAATTATGGGTTCTTGGTGGACGGGGAGGCGCTTCTTGAATCGCCGGGATTTTACACTGACATGGCAGAAGCTCTTATGCTGCCTCCACCTGGATATACTGATGGTGACGTGGAGCCTGTCGCTGACGTGTCACTGTGGTCTTACTCCTTTTGACTGCTCACTCCTCTATGGTGTAATTGAGTTGTCTATTATTCTGTACTATTAGTTAGCTTAGTGTTAGTGTATGTAGGATGCAATTATAATTATAATAATAATATACTCTCTCCGTCCCGTAAAGATGTTCCCGCTTTCCTTCTTTGGGTATCCCAAAAAGAAGTTCAATTTTCCCTAAACGGAAAGTTATCCTACATGATCAAAACAGTGTCAAACAGTGCAAAACAATGCCAAACAGTGTCAAAATAGTAAATTTACTCCTTGGTAAGTTTATTTCCTTATTATATGTGTAGATCAAACCGGGAACATCTTTGGAGGACGGAGGGAGTAATTATTATTATAGACATAAAAGAAAGAAGAATACAAGTTGAGAGTGATTTTGTTCACCTCTCTTTGTCTTTCTCCAAGCAGCCAATTATGGACTGTGGTATCCCAATCTCTTTCTTTTTGTGTACATTTCCTGAAGCTCCACGGATGGCCATAAGTAGTCCATCTATAATCTTTATGGGAAAGTCATTTGTTTGCAAAAATCTAAAAATGCCTCCCATATACGAAGTATGTAACGTCTTTTATATTGATTTATAATATTATACTTCCTATGTCGAATGTATATGATATTTTATTGAATATTTTAATGATATTTAGGAGCAGGATGTTCACTTATTGTGTGGTTGTGAAATGATTTTAGTGTGATTATGAAATGTCTAACATTAATTTCAACTTACAAGTTTTGTGATTTGAAAATGATGAGTCGTGTTTCAACTTATCAATATCAGTGTGATTCTGAAATGACAGTTCTCATTTTAAGTTATCAATTTCAATGTGATTCTAAAATGATAACTTTCAACTCAACTCTCAATTATGCGGACAGAAAATGCTCTCAACTTATCAATTCTGGTGTAATTTTACAATGATGACTCCATTGAAAACGCTCTCAAACTTATCAATTCTCGTGTGATTCTAAAATGATGACTCTAATGAAAATGCTCTCACCTTATTAGTTATAGTGTTATTTTAAAATGATGAGTTCCCATTTCCACTCTCAATGATGTGAATTCCATTGAAAATACCCTCATCTTATCAATTCAAGTATGATTCTAAAATGATCAATTCCAATATCAACTCTCACGTTATGCGGACTCCATTGAAAATGTTTCTGAATCCGATTTTGATACTCCACCTATTCCATAGTCATGTAGATATCTCATCTTCTGTTTATTGGCTTTATGGCATGCTTGTCCCTTATTGATGTCTGTAAAGCATAACATATACTACTGATATAAGATACTTCCGAGTTTAAATGTAGAGTAAAACTTATGGATTAAAAGCTATTTAAGGGCAAGGTTCTCCTCATCGCATCGCAGCGGTAAAGGCCTAGGTTCCACGGCGGTTACGGTCCTAGCACGTCTAGGTTTATCGGCGGGCGGCGCTATAGCTTTCTTGGCGCTTTAGTGTCCCGGATTTTGCTAGTTTTTTTCCTCATCTGGAGGAAGGGGTGGAATTCGGGTGCATTCGGGCTCGGAGAATATTGACGAATCTCAATTGCGGCACAAGGGAGATGATAGGGATCTGGAGATTGTTTGCGTTTGGACTGGCGGTGCTTGTGCGGTTTCTTGGCCAAGAGAAGGAGGTGAATCATGTGCAGATCAAGGTGTTGAAGGAAGAAGAAGTGATGAAGATCCGCCCCCCTCCTCAACCGCCGCCATGCCGGAAAGGGGTGACTAGGGATCGGAACATCGCGCTGGAAGATTGGATTCAGCCGCTCAATAAGTTCATCGTGCAAAGTTTCATTTTTCCCATTTTTAGACTTTTTACTATGAAATTTGATGCTGTCGGTTTGTTTTTTGTTTTTGCTTATGGTTGTAGGTTTTTTACGTTGACCGAGGGTTCGGCTAGATTTGATATTGTTAGTAGGGGACGGGTCTATTTTTTCAGCAGTAGTTGTATTAAGCCCGTCTGGTGATTAGCGATTCGTATTGTTCCTTTAGAGGTGGTCGTCTCTGTGTCTAATCGTAGGGTTAATAATAGTAGTTGGAAAGTGAAGTGTGTTGTCAATTCTGATCACTTTGAGATTGATGTAACGATCCTGATTCTAATGATATCAATATAGTCGTTTTCCTTTAAAAAAAACTATTTAAGGTATACTTTTATTATACGTAGTATATCTATTTATCTTCTCTATTTTATGAAAAGACACGGACTATCCACTACATAATGAATATACACATCATCATAAACACTAAATATTACTCCTTAATAGTAGTATATCTTACCCATCATCTTTATGCTTATAAATTGTATGTGTGTTTCATTATTTATAAATACAAATGAATAGCATAACTATTAAAAGTACCTGGCACACAATTCAACGTCATAGACAAATGGAAACATGTAAATATAACGACTTGCAAGGATGTTTGGCTATTACTAACAGCATACAAACTTGCGAACCAAAACAAATGCCTCTGATTAAGAAATCTACGAAATTGAAACAAAAGAGCTGAGAAACCCGCGCGAAGAAAGCACCGAAGGTATTCATTCCTGCCTGCGCGAAAAAACAAGCCCCCAAAAACAAGAATAAGAAAAAGATAGCCTTCTGATATAACAGCAAGGAAAAAACCATCCATGTGGCAAACACTCCTTTTCACAGCCATGCTACTCAGCCTTCTTGTTAAGGATTATGGTCCTTAACTCACTATCATCCTTTACAAAACTCCAAAGAAGGGAGGTGAGAGGAATGGCAGCGGCATGCGAAACAGCACGGGCATCAATAAATCCCCAGTATGGAGCAAAGTCAAATATTTCAAGGAGAGTGACAAGAACGCCCCCAACAACTACTGCCCACAGCTTCCAACGTGACGGGTGACGACTCACCCCTGCCCACACCCCCCACATAGTAAGTTGGGCCGTGACCATAGCAAAACAAATCTTCCGATTCAAGCCTGCAATCACAAATTCAAGTTCTAACAGTTATGATTTGTTTAGGATTAGGATGGACAGGAAAGAAAAATCTCAAAGTACATAAATAAATAAGAACGAAACAATATACAATACGTAGTATGAGCAGATCTTTCTCTCGCACTCATCTCTTCCCACAATTTTTGTAAACAAACAAAGAGTAAGTAACTCCATCATTGTCTAACAAAACCCCATAATATTAAGCTTTTAAACCAATATATACTCCGTATATATTAGTATACTCGGGGAGTGTTGAAAAGAAAACAAAAGAAGCCAAGATTGCAGGCACTCTTACCATGATCAAATTGATAGAAGTTAAGATACAAGATATGTGTTGTCAAGAACGCAACGATTGGGGCAGAAACCATTACTCTGCCTGCCTCAATGCGCACATTGAATGTTCTGAATATAGCCAAGATAAGAGAAAACCCTAGCAAAGCCACAACAGAAGACTGCTCTAGCCTCTCTGTCAAGTCTACGTCTCTGCAGATAATTTCAGAACATCAAGACAAAGAAAATGGGAAACTTGATACACCAAACCACTAGCAAGTTATCTAGTGAATAGATTGAAATATAATGTCAAGAAAATGATATACTACAGTCAAGTAGCAAACAGAACACTTTGGGTTCATAGGCAGACACTAGCTGGGCTCACAAAAAGATACAAGACAATAACAAAATTTCATATTTCTATATGAAATTTACATTGTATTCAAGCACCAACAAAGTTAAAATCGCTGGTGAGAAAGCACAAAGCTCTAGCAATACAGGACTACAAAAGCATTACCTAGCACTACCGATTGAATACAATTTAAGGCAAAGAAAAACATTTTACCCCAAATATCACACTTACCTGCTATGAAAAACAGCTCTCCAAAACCACAAATTCATTGATAAAATAGCATAGATATGCCATAAGCCGGTGTACTCATAATATGGCTTTCTATTTGGCCTGAATGATAGCTTGTAATTAACTAATATGAAGAAGGACACCCAGCCATGAAATTGTATGGCAAGATTGAGAGCAGATAATGCCACAGAAACAGGTTCCTGAACATAGACATAAAACTTAATAATGTTAAGATGCACTAACAAATTAAGAGCCTAATTGGGATGACTTAAGTTATAAGTGCTATTAAAAGAAGTAAAAAGCACCAATCGGGTATGAAAACAATTCTTGTTTTGAAAATAATGGCATCCCAATTCCCAAACGCACACTACCCATACAGGACTACAAAAGGATGAAAACTATATAGGGCATGAAAACCTGTATTCCATAGACACGCTTAAATGGCCATCTCCCATGATACTTGACGGGCTTGAGACCAAGTTTTTGTCTTTCTTCCTCCCTGTCCAGCATACAATAATATCGACAATCACCCAGACAATCCCACTGTTTCCACCTCAAATAAAGTGGTTCTTGCAAATACCACGGACCATCAGTGGAATTTTCAGCAGATGAAAAATTGCAATGTTGAAAGCAGTTGTCCCCTACACATCCACTCTTCTCACATTTCTGAACACAAACTCTGCCAGAGTAGCAATTTGGCAAAGGCAATAACACAGTCAATGAAAAAGTCAACAAAAAGCAACATAAAGTGAAGTATATCCAAGCATTCACATAATTGATTTTTATGAATTGCAGTGTTTTTGCAACTACTTGTTTGCTTACAACACTACACAAGTACTATTTCCTTAATTGCTTAAACTATAATTTTAAACAGACTCATCCATCAATATACAAATGAATGCACTTCAATACTTTGGGACATGAGACTTGAAGTTGAAAACCGCACTAACATTAGTTAGCACTAAGAGCTAACTAGCTGGGCGACAAAGTGAAGAAAGACTCGCACAATGTGTCCTTTTTCCCATTAAACTGGGACTTGACATAAAATTCCACATAAAGAATTGATTTTTTTTATGAAATATTTTTGGTTTTGACTTTTGAGTCAAGTACTGATATCCTATCTCCTAACAAGTTCGAGATTTCTTGTAAAAACATCAGTACCCTTCCTTCAGAGTTGACCTAAAAGGAGAGTACTACATTCAACATCATATTTTCATATGAGAACGAAATTGATATATTAAGCAGATAAAATAAAACAAAATTAAACGAAGCGCTCTAAATTGCGAATAAAAACAAAAAATGAGAGGGCAAGAAAAGGACTATGAAAGCTGAACTAACTTGTAAATCGAATCCGCATCTCCATCGCTAGCGTTGATGGATGCAGAAATCGAAGAAAAAACAGCGAAGAGCAGCACCAATCGATCTATTAGTGCCATAGGGGCGGCAGCTATACAGAAGAGAGAAGGTGAAAAAGGGGGGCAAAATGTAGAGCGCCTACTACAGCCGCGGCGGAGAAAAAGGAAAACTCGTTAGGGTATTAATAACTGAGCATATTCCATGGAAATATGCTTAAAAAATACATCTACATACGTATGTGCAAGAGAATCTGGAAATTGCGGATGTGAAATCCCGCATAAAAAGAAGAAGACGTGAGGGTGGAGGGCTAATGGGTGGCAGAGGTGAGGTGAGGTGAGAAGAAGCTCAGATTCTCGTGAATGGGACTTACGAGCATACACGTCGGTGATTTGATGTTTACACGAAAATCTACCAGCTAATAATTCGCTCCGATTTAATTGAAGAAAAAAGATTGTTATACACAAAATTTGTACACAAATTTTGT